ATATTATGAAAAAAAATATACTTAGGGTAAAAGTGTAAAAAAATTATAAACTTAAGGGTAAAAACGCAAAAAAAAGTAAACTTAAGGGTTTTTTTGCGAATTTAATATAATGGTAACTTGGAAAACCTGTTATCACCGGTAAAAGGGTAAAATCGAACATTTTTTCGAAAATGTTTGGGTAAAAACGGACATAAATTTCAACTTTGGGCAAAACCGACAAAACCCTGTAAACTTGAGGGTTTTTATGACATTAACCCAAGTTAATATAATGGTAACCTGTTATCACCGGTAAAGGGGTAAAACCGAACATTTTTTGGAAAATGTTAGGGTAAAAACAAACATAAAATTCAACTTTTGACAAAACCGACAAAACCCTGAAAACTTGAGGGGTTTTTATGACATTAGCCATTTTTTTCCTTATTTTCCTTATTTTTTGTTTTTAATTCTTTTTTATTTTTTTATTTATTATTATTATTATTATAAATTTCGATAAACTTATAAGATTCGGATAACATTTTAAAATTCGGATGAAATTTTAAAATTCGAGCGACTATATAAAACGGAACAAAGACAAAGTTTGTCTTTATTTATTACAGATATATTAATTGGTTCGGTATTATATTTCTGTGGTTTGTTATGCGGATTAAAAGCATTTAGTCGAGCAATTGTATATCCATGTTGCCGAATGTTCTGATTTGGATGTACGGAGAAGCCTCGACAAAACATCATGCATCGGATATGCTCCTTGTAAATTAATCATTACATGATGGTTAAGATGAATTGCAATTTATCAATAAACGTTAATGATATCGGTTAGTTTCTAAAATAAAGACAAACTTACTTTTGTTCTATTTTATATAGTTGTTCGAATTTTATAATTTCTTCCGAATTTATAATGTTGTCCGAATTTTATATGGTTATCGAAATTTATAATAATAATAATAATAATAATAATAATAATATAAAAGAAAAGAAAAAAAACAAAAAGAGAAAAAAAATGATGTCAAATAGTAGAAGATTGATTAGATTAATGTTAAAGGGGTAAAATTGGTTAAGGAGGTACTTATAGCACAACCTGTAACATTCTAAAATTTACGACCAAAAATTTCATTTTTAATTTAATAATTCATAAAACAGATTATTGAAAGCATCATTGTGTTATCTCATATCACAAAAACCATAAGTCATATGTCTCAAAACAAATCATAATAATGTCAGAGTACAAATCTCAAGAACATCATAGTGTGGAAAATAATGGTGTGATGCGCTGCAGTTATGCCGGCTCCTTTCCCTTCGAGGAATAAGTACCTGAACCCAAAACTAAAAACCATAAGCACAAAGCTTAGTGAGTTCCCCTGTCATACAATAAACATACTGTCAGGCATATCTAGGTGTCCGACCTATCCTGCTGGGCATATCGGGGCGCTCAACCTACCCCTGTTAGGCATACCGGGGTGCCCAACATACCCCTGTCAGACATACCGGGGGTGTCTGACCTACCCCTGCCAGGCATATCTGGGTGCCCGACCTACCCTCCGGTTTATCTCAACCGGTTACGGGGACAATTTCACCTCTACCACTACCACATAATAACATATCATAAACATGTTGTTAGGCATATATGAGTACTGTCTACCCTTTCGGTCTCTTTCAACCGGTAAAGGCACTATTTCACCCCTCCTACCACTATCACATAATATAATAGCATCCTATCACATAAAGCATAACAGATAGCGGCATACCTGACAATTATCACAAAGACAATCATCTCAACAATAAACAACTACTAGTGAGTCGGCATTGGTGCCTTTGACCCACTTCTACTGGAAGGTAACTCACCTCGATAACTGGGAATAGTTGCAAAGGCTCTCGCTCTGAAATCAACCCTTCTCAGACTCCTACACATAAACATTTCCTTTAATAACCCTTTTCATACTCATGACCCCCCCCCCTCTTAAGGGTCAACTTTGGTCAAAGTCAAAGTCAAATTCAACATCCTGGTCAAATTCAACTTCCTGGTTGACTCAACTCGCCGAGTTGGTTCATCAACTCGTCGAGTTTCAAAAATCAGGAACCCTGAATTGCGATCCAACTCGTTGAGTTTCAAAAATCAGGAACCCCGAATCGCGATCCAACTCGTTGAGTTCTTTCACAACTCGTCGAGTTCCTCCTATCCATAGAATCGGGACCTCTCCAATCAACTCATCGAGTTTTTCCCTTTTCAGACTCGGAACACTTCAACCCAACTCGTCGAGTTCCTCTATGGACTCGACTCGACGAGTTCTTCAGTCTATAGAGTCATCTTAATGGCTTAAGTCCTTATCTTTCAGATCTAGGCTCCATACTTTCACTACATACTGAAAATGTCCTTTTAAGGGTAAAGTTTCC